ACAGAGACAGAGATAGACAGAGACAGAGACAGACAGAGACAGAGACAGAAAAAGATAGAGACAGAGAGAAAGAGACAGAGAATGAATCCCAGTCTGGTGCTTTTGAAATCACAGCCAGTTTGTTTTGTGCATGCAGCCAATAGACAGAGGCTAGCCTCACCCACTTGGCAAGGAAACACAGTCTCAGGTCACTGGTATCTCCCACATAGGACCCTCCATGTTAGATCAGCTTGACAGGCACAAAGCAAAGCCCCCTTATGTTCACCCCTCTGTTTCAAATATTTGCATCCATATGCAATAGGCAGGGGTACATTCTGAACCCAGTTCATCTCCCCAGTTCAGATCAATCCTCTGGGAACTCTGGGCAGCCATGATTGACTTCCTTTCACCTGATTGCCCAGTGCCTTATAGGAAGGAATCTCAGAGCAGCCAATGGTGTAGAATCATATACGATCCCACAGAGTCAGAAGAAAATCACAATCATCTCTAAATGTAAAGTTTTGCAGATTCAGTAAAGCCAGGACTAATATTATACTAAAAATAGTATATATATTATAAAGCCCAGAAGCCTGGGCTCCCTCCTCACTTGGAAGTTTAGCTTATTTTACAGATGAGGAAACTGAGGCAAACAGTGTTAAGTAACTTGGTCATACAGCTTGTATTTGAGGCTGGATTTGAACTCAGGTGTTCCTGACTCCAGGGCTGACACTTTATCCACTGCACCACCTAGCTGCTAGGGATGATTGATGGCAGCTGGAGCCTTCCTGCCCCTGCCTCCAACCCCCCCCAGTCCCCAAACAGCTGAGCTATCTCCATGACTACCCAAGTTAATCCAAAGAGAGAATGTCTTATCTACAAATGAATCAGAGTTTGGAAAGGGGTCCCAGAAGTGGGTCCACAGCAAACCAGCAAATGATCCAGGAATAGACTCAGAGCTCTGAAGTCCTGGGATCTCTTGCCTCTCATCCCCCCCCCCCCCCCCCCCAACCTGCTCTCCCTCCTTGTCCCACATTGTCCTCTGACTTCCTTCTGCTCTGTCCCTAGACCTCCCTAGAGGACCCTTCATTGCGATTGGCCCTGCTGAGCTCCTTCAGGCTAAGCAGGGGGAGGATATCATGCTCCCCCGTCAACTGTCCCCTTAAGAGGGTTGCTAGGAAGATGATGGTGAAATGGTTCCCGAAACAAGACCCTTATGCACAGGTAATGAAACAAGGACAAGTTGGAGGAAACCCTGGACTCTGAGTTCCAAAGGAGGACTGAGCTGCTGAAACATGACATGGCTGAGGGGAAGGTGACCTTGAGAATCCATCAGGTCCAGGTTTCTGACACTGGTCTGTACTCTTGCCATTTCCTATCACCTGACTACTACAATGATGCCTACTTTGAACTGCAGGTAGCAGGTAAGTGCCACTTGGTCTATGGCTTCCTTCTGAAAGAACATTGCGTCAAATCCTTTCCTTTTACAAATGAGGAAAATGGGGCACAGGGAGTGAAGATGCTTTGACCAAAATCACGTAACTTGGAAATGGCCAGGCTGAAAGTCAAACTCAACTCCTCTTACTCCAAATTTGGGCATTTTCTTTTCACACTTCTTAGATGCCACATGTGTGAAATCAGGTACTCTGAGGAAGGGACCAACTCACTTTGAGAAGTGAACCTTGGCTCACAGCTTCCATTCTCTTCTCTCCCTTTGATCCTTCAGGTCTGGAGTTTCTCACTAAAGAATTATGGAGGACTTCCTGATGTCCAGGCTTCCAAAACTGAGATAATTATTTTCTCTCCTTAAAAGATGCTAGGTTTCATCTGGGACCCAAAGTCATACACTGACCAGTGTACTGCATGTCTGAGGTTTTTCCACTGTCATCTACTTATCTTACACCCTCTTTGGCCTAGTAAGAAATATTTACTGGATTCCTTTCAGGTACCCAGCTCTGTGCTAGGTGAGACTATGGAGGAAAGAAAGGAAGAAAACCTAGACTTATCCCTAGGAGACTTTCTAGTCTAGCTGGGGATATATGATAATTAACCTACCCCAAATAATTAGTCTATAGGAGAGTGAAAAGCAATATTGCTCATAGGTAGAATCCTGGACTTGGAGTCAGAAAGACCTCGGTCTAGATGTTGCCTCTGATTTTTATTAATTGTTTGAGCACAGGCAAGGGACTTAAGTTCTCTGAGCCAACTTAATTTCAAAAGAGAATTCATTCTAGCTGGATCCACAGGGACAAAGGTACAGGCCCTTTATGTATGAATTTATGCAGTTAGGTGGTGCAGTGGATAAAGTGTCAGCCCTGGAGTCAGGAACACCTGAGTTCCAATCCAGCCTCAAATACAAGCTGTATGACCAACTTACTTAACACTGTTTGCCTCAGTTTCCTCATCTGTAAAATAAGCTAGAGAAGTAAATGAGAAATCAGTACAATATCTTTTCCAAGAAAACCAAAAATGGGGTCATGAAGAGACAGACATGACTAATTGTTGAAAGAAAAAAAATATATAGCTAGGTCCCAATTAGTCTGAACTGAATATTCGAGTTCACCTCATTTGAAGTTATAATTATATGAAATATGGCAATTGGTTCTAACCCAATGAGAATATGCAGTGGGGATTCAAATTCAAAATTCAAATATCGCTTCCATATTGTAAGGGCTAGGAGTGGGGTACCCCCATGATTTGGAAAATATGAATAGAATTTTTTGGCCTTTCCTTTGTACCATGGAAGAAGTCTGAATTATTATAGTATTAAAAGATGAAATACGTTGATATTCCACAATACTATGCACATATATTTTATGCATTTCCGAGTTTTTAAACTTTTCCTATGTTTTCTGAGGGCTTTTGTGTGTGGCCTGTGGTTTCCACAAAACACCTCCCAAATACCCATTTAATTTCTCATGCCAACCCCCAACACACCAAGCTTCCATGGGGAAAGTAGTGATGTGGAAGGGATAACTGGAATGTAATGTAATGTTCAGGGATTCATTATGCAAACTAGTCAGGACCTAGCTGTATAATGAAGTGGTAGATCATATGGACCATAACTTAGTTCAATTCCAAAAACAATTATTTAGCACCTACAGACCCTTATGGACTGGTGGGGGAGATAGAAAGTTTAGAGAAGACAGGTCCCTCCCTTCATGTTGCCCAGTTTAGGAAAGGCATAAGATAGTAAGATGTAATAACGGTAATACACAATACTACAAGATGAGGGCCTGAGAAGGTACAAAATGAAATGACTGATGGAGAAGGTCAGTGGTACAGGAATCAGGGAAGGCTTCCTGGAGATGGGGACATTTGAATTGGAATTTAACAGTGTGGCAGGGATTCAACAGGAAGAGAAGGAGGAAGGGCATTCCCAGCACAGGGAACTGTATCAGCAAAATCATGGCAGCTGGAAGAGCAGGTCATCTTGAGGGCACAATGTGTGGCCCAGTCTGACTGAGGCGTGGAGCACATGGAGGAAGGTGGGATGAAGAGTGAGGAGGTTAATCCTCTATGAAGGCCAAGGGAAGTGGGGTGTGTTCCAAAACAGAGTCCCTGAAGGTTTGGGGGGGGGGGCAGGAATGGCCTAGGGGCAGGGCAGGAATGGCCTAAGTGGGGCCACATGCAGAGTAGAAGAGCCTGGTAGATGTTTGTAGGGTGGAGGGAGGGAATAGAGGAGGGAAAATATGTCTGGAAGGTAATGGAAGATTCCAGGTAAAAGATAAAGAGGGCTTGTGCTGGTGTGGTCCCAGGGAGAATGGAGAGGAAAGGAAGGCTGGGAAAACTGTTCTGAAGGCAGGATGAAGAAGAATTAACAGAGCTTTTGATATTCCTGAGGGAGACAGTGGGCATCAGAGATTTCCTCAGAAATAAGGGAATAGGCGAATCATGGTGACTCTGATTTTAAAATGGTGAATCAAAAGGAGAGACTGATTTAAGAAGGACAAATATGAACTCAGTGTGTGACATGGGGAGTTTGGGATGCTGAAAAGGCATCTAGGTGGAGGTATTCTGAGATTAGGTCTTAAACACAGAAGAAAGGTCAGGGTTGGAGATTTAGGTATAAAAGTCAGGTGCTTTGAGTGGTTAGTTAAACACATTTAATTAAAGTTAATGAAAGGTTTTACAATTATTGAGAGAAAAGAGGATTAAAAACAGAACCTTGACCAACATTGGGCCCTCTACCCCCAAATTGGTTGAGATAAAGAGCCAGTGAAGGAGACAGAGGAGTCCACAGAGAAGTTGGAGGAGGATCAGGAGAGGGTCTTCTCTCTGAAGTCAGTGGAAGAGAGAATAACAAATGTCCCAGAAGGGCTTGAGGGGAGGCCAACAATATCAGAGAGGTCGCAGACAATGAAGACTCAAAGAAGTCCAGGGGATTCCTTTATTAGGAAGCTATTGATGACTTTGGAGAGAACATTTCAAGAGAATGGTGTTGAGGAACAAGCCAGGCTGAGGGGGGATAGAAGGAAAAATGTGGTATGATCCAGAGGTACTTTTGTGGGGCAGAAAACTTTCCCTCCAATTTTAGGAGCAAAGGGATAATTACACCATTGAAAGCATTAGAACTGGGGAGATGCCCATATCTTTAAGCCAATGGGAAGGAGCCACTAGAAAAGGAGACACTGAAGATGTATGAATGAGGGGATGATTATGGAGCAGGGTCCTGGGGAGGGAAGGAGAAGAGGGGACAGGATCAGTGGCACAGGGAGAGGAATCAGCTTTAATGAGTAGGGAGGTCTCTCCTTCTGTGGCCAGAGAAGAGAAGAGAGGGAGTGAGGAGGAAGGAAGGGGAGGGAGAGGCCTCACACTCAGGCTCACCCTGGACTGTCTCATCAGGACTCAACTTTCCCATGGAACCTCAGAGCTGGAAGGGAGCGCAGAGACCACCATGTCCAGCCAGCACCTGAAGGGAAATCCCTGAAATGCCTCAAACACATGGTCATCCAGCTCCTGACTGAAGACTTTCAGTAGAAGGAGGCCTTGAACCCTTCTGAGGCAGCCCATCCCACCTGGGGCAGCTCTCCTGGGCAGGAAGGCTAATTAGGCCCCCAGCCACTTCTAGCTGCTCCCAATTCAGCCTCTGGGGCCAAAAGAAAGAAATTAGACACCTTCTTCAGGACGCTGCTTCATCTGGTAGAAGTCAGAGATTATTATGGTATTAAAAGATGAAATATGTTGATATTACACAATACTATGCACATATATTTTATGCATTTCTGAGTTTTTAAACTTTTCCTGTGTTTTCTGTGGGCTTTTGTGTGTTGCCTGTGGTTTCCACAAAACTCCCCCCAAATACCCATTTAATTTCTCATGCCAACCCCCAACACACCAAACTGCCATGGGGAAAGTAGTGATGTGGAAGGGATAACTGGAATGTAATGTAATGTTCAGGGATTCATTATGCAAACTAGTGAGGACCTAGTCAGGATCTAAGCAGTTAAAGGGCTGTCTCTTTGTACCCCATAAACAGACCCTATAATGTCATCTGGTTCACAAACTGATTTTAAAGGGTTAAGTTCATTTCCCCAACTAGAGAATGAGATCCTCAAGGGCAGCACCTACATTGTTTGTGTTCTCTCCCCTGCTCCTTCCCTACCCCAAGGGCCTAGGACAGGTCTGGGTAGGCCCATAGAAGACTCTCAGTAGGGACATCTGACTTTGAAAGAAAGTCCTTCTCTGAAATGTTTTAGAATGGGCCCTAAAGTAGAGAAGGGGAACTTCTGAACCGTGCACCAGGGCTAGCCCTGGAGTAGACCATTATCCAACCTCAAGACGATGTCCTTCTGGCCATAGTTTCAGTTCAGAGCAAAATTAGCCTCCTGAAAAGCTGCCCTTTTGTAGAACAGAATAGTTCCAATCTGAGGTTCCAGCTAGTAGAGACCTTATTCATCATTTACATCTAAGCTCTTATTTCACATTTGGGAAACTGAGGCCCAAAGCAGCAAAGAGACTTATTTACCCTTAGGCCCTGATAAGTGCCAGTGATGGGATTGGTCCCCAATATCCCTACTCCAAGTCTATCTTTTTCTTTTGTTTAAAAGGCGGATCTCCAGTTTCTCCTTTCCCAAATCTGTCTTGCACATGCTGCCAGATTCATTTCCCCTAAAACACAACTTTGGTTATATCACTTTAACTGCTCAAGAGACTTCCATGGCACCCTATTGTTGTAGAGTCCTCTACAATCTGGCCCCACCATAACTGTTCAATGTCATGGTTCCTCCCAATGCTCTATTGCCCATGTTACCAATGAGGATATTGAAGCACTGGACTTCTGGGATTAGAAGAGATGGAAGGTTACTTGCAAGAGGGGCAAGACGCTGACAGAGACTCTTTTGGCATTGAAGACCAATGGTACGGATGTTAGAGGTTATCTAGGACCCGTCCTCTATTTACTGAGGAAGAGACTGAAGCCCAGTGACCTCAGTTCACTTAGCCATTAAGGTATAGAAACACAATTTGAAACCAGATCTGATTTTCCAAGTCTGGGGCTGTTTCTTCTCTCCTGTATCATCCTGCTGCCCCAACCCCCTCCTTTTATAGGTGGTTAAACCAAGGCCCAGAGAATGCAACGGACCAATGTGACAGTTTAGTGGAAGGTTGATTCCAGGGCTGCTGGAGTCCAGGCTGCTCAGCTAAAATCCAGAGAGAATTTCTCAATGGGGATGTAAGAACCAACCCCAGAAGGGACTTTAGCACCTGTGGTATCAGGAGACCTGGCCTGGGTCTCAGGAGACCTGGAGTCTGGTCCTGTCTCTGTCATTACCTCAGTGGACCCTCCAGGACAAGTCTCTTCCCCTCTCTGCTCTGTAGTCTTCTGTCTAATGGTGGGGTTAGACTAGATGCGATCTAAGGTCCCATCATCCTCTTAAAGTCTCTGAATCTATAAGGACACAGCTGTGAGGTAGTGGGAAGAGGCCTGCATTGGGAGTCAGAGGACCCAACCTTCAGTCTTGGCTCTGTGACTTACAAACTGAAGGAAGGAGGGGCCCTATCTTTTATTTTCCTCTCTGTAAACTGTCAACCTGAAAGTTTGGTTAAAGAAGGCTAAGAGCTAGGTGATAAGTAAATCCATATTGTTTATTCCCTTAAGTTAGCTGAATCAAGCAATTTTAGCAGGATATTTAAACCCTGACTCAGGATGTCTGCGTTAATTGATAGGCAAATGTCAGATCCAGGATATCTGTGCTTCCTTTGCCATCAAGATGAGAAAAATTCCCATTATTCAAGGTAGTGTCTGGGTTACAAGCTCCTTAGTGTTCATAACCATATGAATGCTCTTGATCAGCTTTAGCTGTTGACATAGGAAGGGGCATTCTCAGTTCACTCAGGAAGAAAAGATCAATTCAGGTTTTTGGCCCTTGTTGGGGCTCAATTGATCTTAAATGATTATCAAAACCGTGGAAGCTGGGCTCCATTCTTTCTAAGCTCTCTTCCAGTTCTTCCATTCTCTCCCCTGAAGTCCTGGGGAAACTTGGTTTGGGGGGATGTTTAGAGGCTGGTGGGCGGGGGGGGGGGGGCGGGGAAGACTGCATCATCTGTGCACAAAGCAGTGTCCCTGCCCAGGATTTCCTGAATCCTGATGCCCTCTATGCTCCCACCCCTAACCTGGGCCACAGGGATCAGGGTCTGGGGTTTCCCTTACCTAATTTCCACAATAATGGAGTTTGGGGATCTGATTTCAGAGCGTCTCCCCACATCTCAGAAGACACTGCCTATAATGATTGCTGCTGTAGTCCTGGTGGTCTTCACTGGTTCCCTCATGGTGACTTGTTTCTTCCGCAAAACAAAACTCCAGAAAACCAGAGGTAAGAGGAGAGCCCTGGCTTTAGGTCTTTAATCCTTCCATTACTGGACCCTGTGATTATTGCTGTGAGAGGGATCTGAGGATCCCCTGATTTGCTGGCCTAAGGCGCCTCTCTTGGATCTGAACATATGGTCTGACTCTGGGCTGAGGGACCTGAGCTTTGCTGGGATGACAGAGAGATTCCTGAGTGGTCTCTGTGCTAGGTGGGTTGTGTCAAAGGTGGTCATCCACTGGGAGGCAGGAGGATGGACTCTTGGGGAGAAACCTCCTAGTCATGTTCTCACCTCAGCCTAATCCTCCACAGATCCTCCTCCAAGAATTGGTTTCTGGGTTACTTTCTAGGTGTAGGTGGGGGGATGGGAGCTGCTGGGGCTGCCCTTTGCCAGGCTGCCTGTTCCCAGAGCTGTTCCCTTCAATACTTGAGTGTGCACCTGGTCCCAGGAACCAGCCCCAGTCAATCCCTGGGTGTCCTAGTCTGCTCTCCCTTTCTCCCTTGGCCCTAACCCAGCCCCCCTCAGCCCATGCCCTGCCCTTCTCTAGGCCTACAAGCTCACAGGCTGACTCAGGGAATTAGGTAATTTTTACTTGAATTAAAAAGTTAATCAATCATTTCTAGGTGTGGTTTGGACTTTGTCTCATCTGACTCTCATTTATCTGTTTACTGAAGCAGTCTTGTCCCAGGTGCCAGCTGCTCTCCCCGGACTCCTGGTGATGGGATATGGGCCCAAGCTGAGACCTTTGCCCCAAAAAGAATCTGGCTCCCATTTGTCTACGGGCCCCAGAAAACCCTTAAACTTTTTTGCTAGGCAATGGGGGTAAGTGACTTGCCCAGGGTCACATAGCTAGTAAGGTTCAAGTGTTTGGTCTGAGGTCAGATTTGAACTCAGGTCAGTCCCCCTGACTTCAGGACTGGTGCTCCATCCACAACGCCACTTAGCTGCCCCTCCCTAAAAAAACATTGTTTTGACCTCACTTTGGCCTCAAACGGCTACCTGAGGCTATATTCCACTCAACGACTTTTCTTTATTGACTCTCCTTATCTCTCTTTGAAAGCCCTAGTCCCACCTTAGATCCTCTTCCTTGCAGTCCCCTTCATTATCTATTCAATTTATCTATCCCCAATGTCTATTCAATCTCTCAGACTTTCCAATTGGAATTCACCCCCAGTCACCCAGATCCTCTGCCCAGCCTCTCCTGTGGTCACTCAAAATTACTGGAGTGTATATAAGATCCACCCCTGCCCCCATTTAAAGCTGAGACTTTCTCATGCTTGCTCATCCTTAAGGGTGTCACTAATGTTCAGATTCCTTAAGAGTCTGGCCTGCATGATTTATCTCTAATAAACTTTTGCTCTGGCTGAAAGAAGATTTGGATTGAATTCATTCAGGCAGGGCCCGCATGTTGTGATTTTGGGGTTCCAGCACCCCTAAACCTCTAGACCTCATCACTGGCAGCTGGGCTCCCTGTCACTGGCCGCTGTCTCCAGCTCCTCTGTCCTAAATGAGGCTGCCTTCTCCCTATGCTCCTGCCCCTGGTCAACTGAGGCCCTGGACTGAGGGGGGACAGCTGGGTCATATGCTGAAGGCAGTAGACTATCTACCTGGAGCCCAGCCAGGGCCCCCGGCCCCCTGACTTGTTGTCTTTCACCTGAGGCTGTGTCCCTTCAGTTATCAGGCATTCTACTCTGCCCTGTGCCTGGAAGATTCTTATTTGTCCAGTTCGATTCGGTCTTTCAATTAAAATTTGTTTTAGAAAACAACTTATTCCTATTTTAAATTCATTTCCTTAAGATTTTATTAGTATATAGCACTTATTTTTATCTTCTCTCTAATTTGGTTCTTACTGATCCTTTTCCATTTTTATTTTCACACATCCTAGCTGTGTGACCCTGGGCTAGTCACCTACCTCTCAGTGCTCTGTATGATTCGAGGTTGTGGAGGAGGCACAGACCAGAATTGATAATGAAAATTCCTCTTCCAGAATTCTCTGGACCAATGAAATCCCAAGTCTATTCTCTTAGCCTTTAGAAAATCAGTAATAATTGCTTTTATAAGGTTCCATTATTTAGAAAATAATTTAGCTTAAATCTGCATTGTTTTAAATGATTTTTATTTCTTATTTCTTCATTTACAAATGTATTACATTTACTTTATCAAGATATTGCTAACCCTTATAAAACAACTGATTTTGTTTTATTGACAGTAGAGATTATTCCATGGAGTCCAGCTCCAGAAGGAGAACAGAGAAGCAGCAGGGACCCACTAGTTTCTTCTGGGAGACTCCAGCTATCCCCCAGGCTACCAGCTATTGTATCCATTCTTGATACAGGAAGGAGAAGGCTGAGCAACAGGAATAGATAGCAATGCCTTCTTTTGTGCCCCCTTTCCCTCCCTCAGGGGGTGTAGGGTAGGTTCAAGGAAGTACAGTACCTCTGGTGTGAAGGCTGATGAGCCCTACTCAAGGCTGCTTATCCACCTTTTGTGTCCACCTGGTTCTCCCAACTCTTACTTGTGGTTCCAAGAAGCTGTATAGAAAAGGAATCTTGGGAGCAGTTAGGTGGTGCAGTGGATAGAGCACTGGCCCTGGATTCAGGAAGACCTGAGTTCAAATTTGGCCTCAGACACATAACACTTACTAGCTGTGTGACCCTGGATGAGTCACTTAACCCCATTGCCTAGCCAAAAAAAAAGAATAGAAAAAGAATCTCTAAATCTTTTAAAATGTTTATTACACACAGCTGAGAACAAAAGAAAACTTACAAGGAAGCTAAGAAAAGCTGGACAGCTCTGAACATAATATAATATTTATTGAATATTTTCTTGAAATGAAAATTTATTGCTGTCTATTTTGATTGATCTCTACTGTGCACATGGCAATGCTTTTTTTTAATTTTTAGTTTTTAAGTTCAAAATAAATTAATAAAAAACAATAAAAGATAAAATAAAATGTTTATCGTACCTCTCTTTGTGGTGGCAAAGAACTGGAAATTTCAGGAATGCCCATCAATTAGGGAATGGCTGAGCAAGTTGTGGTATATGAATGTAATAGAATATTATTGTGCTATAAGAAATGATGAGCTCAATGATCTTAGAAAAACATGGGAGGACTTGCATAAAATAATGAAGAACACAATGAGCAGAAACAAGAGAACATTATAGTAACAGCAATATTGCCTTATCAACAACTTTGAATAAGTTATTTTGACTATTATAAATACCCAAATTAACCACAAATGACATGGGAGGAAGGACATTATCTTGCATCCAGAAAAGGAGCTGATAAATTTAAGTACATATAGAATAATTTTACATATTTATATGTGCACATATATATATACATATATACACAAACATGTATATTCACTCATGTATGTACATATATACATACATATATACTTATTTGTGTTTACTGGTAATCATCTCTGGTGGGCGAGGGTGTAGGGAAGAAAAAAATTTTGCACGGTAATTTTGTTGTACATTTGAAAATTATAGCAAGCTGTGCATAGTAGATTTGCATTTTCATGTGCAATCATCTTTTTTATTGTACTATGTTATAGAAATGTTTGTTTTATTTCATAAATTAAAAATGAAATAAATTTAAAAAAATGAAAGTGGAAGCTGGATTAGGAATCAGGAGAACTAGGGTCAAATCCTATCTCTGGCACTTATGAGGCAGGCACTCAGGGTAAATAAGTCCCTTTATTTCTTTGGGCCTCAGTTTCCCAAATGTGAAGTGAAAGCTTTGAATTAAATGATGAATAATGTCTCTTCCAGTTGGAAACTCAGATTTGAACTACTCTGTTCTATAGAAGGGCAGCTTTTCAGGGAGCTAATTATTCTCTGAGCTGTAGCCATGGCAGAGGGAAATTCTCTTGAGGCTGGATGATGCCAAAGTCCAAGGCTAACCCTGATCCCCAGTCCAGAAGTGTCCCTTCCCTGACTCAAGGCTCTTCCTAAAATGTTTCAGAGCAGGGTTTTTCTATCAAGGTAAGATGTCTCTATTGAGAGTCTTGTACTGGCCTGCCCAGACTGTCCTAGGCCCTTGGGGAAGAGAAGGAGCAGGGGAGAGAAGTCAAACAATGTGGGTCTTCCCCTGTGGAGCTCACTGTCTAGTTGGGGAAATGAGCTTAACCCCTCTAAATCAATTTGTGAACCAGATGACACTGTACGGTCTGCTTGTGAAGTATAGACAGATAGCCCTTCAACTGTTAAGAGATCCTATCTCTGATTTCCACTAGATGAATCAGGGTCCTGGGGAAGTGGCCTGATTTCTTCATTTTGGCTCCAGAAGCCCATTTGGGAACAAGAGCTAGAATTGGTACAGAGGTCTATTTAACCTTCCTGCTCAGCAGACCTGGCACAAGTGGGTGGAATGGGCAGCCTCAGAAGGCGCCAAAGATACACTTGCATGAAATAATAAATAGTGAAATGAGCAGGACCAAGAGAATGATGTATATAGTAACAGCAACTCTTGCCTGCTTAATGTGGCAGGTAGGGATCCCATCTCGTGGTTGAAGCACAAAAAAATGTACAAAAAACTTCTGCAAATGTGATTCTACTCACCATCGGCAAATGGAATGTGCACACAATTATGGACAATACTAAATCCAGTAGACCTTAAAGACAAACAGCTCTTGTTTTGAGAGAACTTAGCTAGTATTGCATCCAAATGGCAGCCCTGAGTGAAACAAGGCTGGTAAATGAAGACCAGCTTGCCAAAGTCAGAGCTGGATACACATTTCTCTGGAGTGGACTCACTGATGGGACTTTTGTGAGACTGGCATAAGTTTCACAAAACTAATCTAGTCAACAAGTTTGTATGCCTCCCAAAAGAAGAGAATGACAGACTCATGACAATGTAATTTCCACTTTCAGGAAAAGTGCCATGCCACCATTATGAGTGCACATGCTCCCACCATGACAAACCTTGTTGAGGTCAAAGAAAAATTTGATGAAGACTTGGGTACCCTCATCATCAGTGTGCTGAAAGAAGACAAGCTTATAATTCTGAGTGACTTCAATGCTAGAATAGGCACAGACATCACAAGGATTCCTTGGGACAATGGAGTTGAAAAGAGCAACAGCTATGGTCACTTTCTACAGAAGACTTGTGCATCTTATGACCTTCTCAGGAAAGGTCATTCTCCTCTCTCCTAACTCTCAAAACTTATCTTCCTCACAACTCAGAAAGCCCCTAATCTTTCTTCCAGTTAGAAATCAGATAATCTAATCTTGTATCTTGATTTATATCCTGTTAATTGTTGTCTTTTAATGCATAAAAAATCAGTTCCCTCAAGTACTAAGGGTCCAAGACCAACCCTGAGGAAGCCTGGTCCTGATTTGTTATTCAACTGGCATGTATTGCTTAATAAATTGACATGCTTGAAAGCATGAACCTTTGTTTCCTCAGTCATTTCAATCCATCTATCCACCACAAAGTCCACGAGAGCTCTTGCATTCCCTCTTTTAGAAATGTTACAAAATAATTTTTCTTGGCATCATATTTAAAGTCTTTGTTCTTGCCTGGCTGAGAAACCAGAATCATCTGTCGGGTTTTAAAGCCCTTCATAACCTGGCTCCTTCCTCGCTTTCCAATGTTCTTAGTCTTTACTGTCCTCTGTGAACGCTAGGACCCAGTGACACCAGTCTGCTTGCTGTTCCTTGCCCAAGACCAACTCCACACCCAGCTCTGTGTCTTCTCTTTGACTGCCTATCAGTCAGGAAAGACTGATTAACTACCTTCTATGTGCCAGGCACTGTGCTAAGTTCTGCCCAAAGAAGCTTACCATTTAATGGAGGAAGACAACTAGGAAGCTGAACTGGGGAATGCCTTCTGTGTGCCAAGCCCTGTGATAAGTGAGGTTGTGGAAGGGAGAAGGAAAGCAGGTCTGGTCTTATTCTTGAGGGATTTACAGTCTACCTGGGGAGATGTGGTGACCAATAGGCTTTATTTTTTAAAAATTTTGTTTATTTTTAATTTTCAACCTTTACTGTTATAGATATTGAATTCTAAATTTTTACCCCTCCCTGTCCTTCCCGTTCCCAAGACAGCATGTAATCTGATATAGGTTATACAAGTACAATCATAATAAACATATTTCCACATTAGTTACGTTGTGAGAGAAGAATCAGAACAAAAGGGAAAAACCACAAGAAGGAAAAAACAAAAAAAACAACAACAAAAAAGAGAAAATAGTGTGTTTCCTTCTGCATTCAGACTCCATAGTTATTTCTCTGAATGTGGATAGCATTTTCCATCATGAGTCTTTTGGAATTGTCTGAGATCATTGCATTGCTGAGAAGAGCAAAGTCTATCAAAGCTGGTCATTGCATAATGTTCCTGTTACTGTGTACAATGTTCTCCTGGTTCTGCTCATTTCACTCAGCATCAGTTCATGTAAGTCTTTCTAGGCTTTTCTAAAGTCTGCCTGCTCATCATTTTTATGGAACAATAGTATTCCATTACATTCATATACCATAATTTGATCAGTCATTCCCCAATTGATATGCACCCCCTCAATTTACAATTCTTGGCCACCACAAAAAGAGCTGCTATAAATATTTTTGTACATATGGTTCCTTGTCTCATTTTTATGGTCTCTTTGGGATGCAGACCTAGAAGTAGTATCACTGGGTCAAAGGGTATGAACAGTTTTATAGTCCTTTGGATATATTTCCAAATTGTTTTCCAGAACAGTTGGATCACTTCACAACTCCAGGAACAATATCTTAGCAGCTCTATTTGCTGACATCTTCTCCAATATTTATCATTTTCCTTTTTTGTCATGTTAGCCAATCTGATAGGTACCTCAGAGTTGTTTTGATTTACATTTCTCTAATCAATAGTTATTTAGAGCATTTTTTTATTTGATTATAGATAGCTTTAATTTTTTTCATCTTAAAACTGCCTATTCATAACCTTTGACCATTTATCAATTGGGAAATGACTTGCATTCTTATAAGTTTGACTCAGTTCTGTATATATATTTATAAATGAGGCCTTTAGCCCTTGTGCTAATAGTTCTTTGAAATTCTTTTTAACATTTCTTTATTTGGAAATAATCAGTTGGATTGGTTAGCTTTCAATTTTTTAATATCAAAACAGTGTTGTTTAAAATACTTTATATGCTTAAGTGGTTTCTTTTGAATAGGTGAAAAGGTAATGAAAATTATTTTCAGGTTCTCTGAAATGTCTAAAAAGGGAAAATAAACATTTTGAAATACAATAGAACTTTGAATACCTTTTAGTAAGCAATTGTAAATTTTACTTCAGATTTTCCTTAATGGATGAAAAATAGATTATAACTTTTCTAGTTAAATTCAACCATAACCATTAGTAATTATGGTGCCAGTAATTACAATCTATGGGAGAAAAACCGTATCTTAAGAACTCCAGATATTTTTAAGTAACAATTTGAAGTTTAAAGTGCATCAACTTCTGTGTTCATGTTTTATAAGATGCATTAAGTTTTAAATGAGGTTAATCTTGTCTGAAAAAAGTAAATGAGTGTCCAGACTATCTCCCTAATAGTACAGTACTTGGAATTGTGTTTTTAATGACTGTAGTGTTGAAAAAGAACTAATGTGCAGAAAATAAAGAAATTACAATAGCACTTCTAGGGCTATATCCCAAAGAGATCATACAAATAGGCAAAGGACCCACATGTACAAAAATATTCATAGCAGCTCTTTTTGTGGTGGCCAAGAATTGTAAATTGAGGGGGTGCATATCAATTGGGGAATGACTGATCAAATTATGGTATATGAATGTAATGGAATACTATTGTTCCATAAAAATGATGAACAGGCTGACTCCAGAAAAACCTGGAAAGACTTGTATGATCTGATGCTGAGTGAAGTGAGCAGAACCAAGAGAACATTGTACACAATAACAGCCACATTGTGTGATGACTAATATTGATAAACTTAACCCTTCCCAGCAACACAAGGATCTAAGACATCTCCAAAGGCCTCATGATGGAAAATGCTATCCACCCAAAGAAAGAACTATGGAAGTTGAGTTGCTATTTTTTTTCTCTTCTGTTAAGTTTTATTTCCTCTTTCTGGTGGTTCCTCCTACTGGTTCTAGTTTTTACTTACAACATCACTAATGTGAAAATATGTTTAATAGGAATGTACATGTATAGCCTATATCAGATTGTGCACTCTCTTGGAAAGGGTGATAGGGAGGAAGGGGGAGAAAATTTTTAAACTCAAAAGCATATGGAAGTGATTGTTGATAAATCAAAATAAATTAATAAAAAATGATGATTATTAAAAAAAAGAAAATAAAGAAATTACATAGCAAAAAAAAAAAAAGAAATGAGGCCTTTATCAGATACACTGGCTATAAAAAATTGATTCTTAGCTTTCTGCTTCCCTTCTACTCTTGGTTGCATGACTAATATGCTTTAAAAAAAATATCTGTCAAAGTGAACAGGAGTATGGCCTGGTGGCTAAAACACTGGACTCAGAGTCAGTAAGAAGTGGATCCAGATGCTGCCTTTGACTCTTATTTTCTGTGTGACCACAAGCAAGTCAATGAACTTCTCTGTGCCAAGGTAATTTCAAAAGACTATTCATTCCAGCTGTTCCTACACTGTCAAAATGACTGGTGCTTAATGGAGAGAAGTAGATAATAAAATGTTAGATATAGGGGCCATGATTTCTTTCAATTCCATAAACATATATTAAGCACCTACTGTATATAGATACCACTACTTTGGTAGATAAGATACAAAGTTTAGACAAGTCTTGCCATGAAGTTGCTAATTTCAAGAAGGTGATAAAATATCAAGAGATATAACTTTAATACATAATAATATAGCAGAAGGGCATGAAAAAGTTGTAAAACAAAATGATATATGAAGATTGTTGGGGAAGATGTTAATGACACTGGAATCAAGAAAGGCTCCCTACAGGTGGTGATATTTGAATTGGATTTTATAAGATTAGGAGGGACTCAACAGGAAGAAAAGGAAGATGGATGGTCCAAGCACAGTGAACTGTGTGAGCAAAGGCATGGAAGCAGGAAGGGCAGGGCATTTTCAGGGCACAAGATCTGGTCCATTCTGACTGAAGCACAGAGCACATAGAGGAAGATGAGATGAGGCTGGAAGGGCAGAATGGCACCAGACTGGGGAGGTTAGCCCAGTGTGAAAACCAAGCAAACCAGAGTGAGTTCCACAATAAAGAGCCCCTGAAAATTCTGAAGGGCAGGAATGGCCTGAACAGTGCTATGTGTCGGGAAGATGAGGCTGGCAGTTGACGGAAGAATGGAGGGAGAGAGTAGAGGTGGGGAAACATGTATGGAAGCTAATGGAAGGTTCCAGGCAAAGGGGTGCTTATGCCAGGGTGGTCCCAGTGAGAATAGAAAGGAAAGAAAGTCTGGGAAAGCTGTTCTGAAGGCAGGATGAAGAGGAATTGGCAGTGCCTTTGATGTTAAGGAAGAGAGAAACAGTGGGCATCAGAGATTCCTGAAACACAAGGGAATGGGTGAATGAAGGTGCCTCCGATTTTGAAATGGTGAGTTCCAGAGGACCAGCTTTGGGAAGGATAATAATAAACTCATTGTGTGATGTAGTGAGGTTAAGGAGCTGAAAAGATATCTAAGAGGAAAAGTCCTAAGAGGAGAAGTTGTTTGAGTTGAGGGTCTTGAGCACAGAGGAAAGGTTGGAACTGGAGATGTAGATCTGAAAGACATGTGCTTAGTGGAGGTTTTTAAAGACATTTAGGAAATAAAAGTGTCATGACTATGACTGAATGATATGAATGAATGAATGAATGAATGAATGAATGAAAAACATTTATTAAACATTATATGCCAAGCATTGTTCAAAGTTCTGGGCACACAAGTACAAAAAGTGAGACAGTCCCCGTCCTCAAATAGCTTGCATTCTTTTTTTTTAATTAATTTATTTTGATTTATCAACAATCACTTCCATATTCTTTTGAGTTTAAAATTTTTCTCCCCCTTCCTCCACACCACCCTTTCCAAGATGGTGCACAATCTGATATAGGCTATACATATACATTCCTATTAAACATATTTTCACATTAGTGATATTTTAAGTAAGAATTAGAACCAATAGGAGGAATCACCAGAAAGAGGAAACTGACCAGGTAAAGAAGAGGCTGCAACCTCCCAAGAAGAATGGAGGCCAGTTGCATGCCTCTGGAGGTCCTAGTTGGAGGATGGTGTCTGTGTCTTCCAAACCTATTTCAGGGATTTTGACTCCTAAAAATCTTAAGATTTATGTAGAAGTTGATAAAATACATCTTGCTCCTAATTTCCTCTTTGGTTGGAATAAAAGAAAGGTAGGACAAGAACAAAGGCCCAGGGAAAGT